AATGGCTCAGCTACTTATTGCTTACCCTAGGAATGTGCTTTTGACAATTGAGAGGTTAACTTTTGTAAATTTTTTGTTGCTCCAAGCCTCCTGTAAAAAGAGAGGTTTTAGGCTAGAGGAGAAGCTAGGAGGAATTAGAATTAGGACAGGAGAATTATAATAGAGACAAAAGAATAAAGAGACTTGTTTAGAACAGCATGGAGTGAGAGGATTCATTCTCCCTCAAATACAATGAAGAAAAAAGTTCATTTCACTTCCTGTAGTATCCGATCTGAACCTTGAAGAGGAACTTGGGGCTGAACCTCAAATGCCTCATTATTGACCTATTGTTTCTGATATCACTGACTCCTTTGAGTTATCCATTACTTCTGACTTCTATGGTTTTTCCACTTCTTCTGTATATATCCCGGAACATCAAAGGAAGCAGTTTAACGGATGTGTCCTATTTTGGACTGAGTGTTCCAAAATCTTTCTCTCTACACATTGGTTATTTGTAGTCTGTGTACTAATTCCCATCTATTGCAGGAAGAAGCTTTTTTGATGGTGGTCAAATGAAATACTGACATATAGGTATAGCAAAATGTCATTAAGGGTCATTTTATTGCTATGTTCTTTTAGCAGAACAATAGTATTTGGTTCTCCCCTAGGCCCATTATCTATCTAGTTTCAGGTTAGCCATGGGTTTCTAATTAGGACTCAGGGAGTGAGCAGTAAATCTGTTCAGGCAGTGGCAGGCTACTCCCACAACATTTGTGCCACTATTGCACCAGTGGAACATGCAGGAGGTCACCACTGTATCCTCAGGGTTTGTAGCTCAGTTGGTGTTTAGCTTTGTCCTTTGGTACCATGCAGAGTACCTTCTAAGATGAGGAGCACTAGTCAGCAGGGGTAAAGGCTCTAGGTGGTCACCATGTTCAGTGATGGTATACGTGTTGTCTTCAATAATAGGGCTTTACCACCAGTTTTCAGAGAGAACCGATAGCTTTGGCAATAACCCGTGGTTTTCAGATTTCCCTCAGGCCTCTTTGGCCAATGGCTCAATTAGAAGTAACCCATCCTTGGCACTGGAAGTTCCACTTTGCAGTGAAAAATGTTTAGTTGAAGCATTGTCTCTCCCATTATTTATTGACTGCAGTTAGATTTCTCTCACATATGTAAGTCTGCAGTATTCTTTCCGATTTTGTTTTGAGACAGTATTTCTCTGTGTAGACCTGGGTGTCCTAGAACCCAATCTGTAGACCAGGCTGCCCTTTAATTCAATGAGGTCCACTCTCCTTATACCCCTAATGCTGGGATCAAAGGTGTATGCCACCACTGTTTGACTTGCTTACAGCATTCTTTATTTTTTTTTCTTCACTCTCTTAGCAATAGATGAATCTTTGTCTTCCTGTTAGACTATGCAGATTTAGGAATGAATGAGCTACTCCTTTACCTTGTCCAAAAGAGAGATTCTGGCATAGCCTCCCCGCTGCCACCACTTTTCTCCCTTTTCCCTCCCTCACCCCCCTTCATTCTCACCTGCTTGCTTACTTACTTGCTTCCTGGCTTGTTTGCTTGCTTTGTTTTGGCAGGATCTCACATAGTCCAGTTTAACCATGAACTTCAGATACTACTACTTTCACTTCCCTAGCCCTGGGAGACAGGTATTTATCACTGTACCTAATTCCTTTCTCTGTGCTCTTAATTTAGCTATACTTTGTTTTATTTTTTGAGCTAAGGTATCATTCTGGAGCCCAGCTATCCTTAAACTATATATCCCAGGTTGGCTTTGAACTTGCAGCAACCGTCGTTTTTAGCTTCCCTGGTGCTGGAATTACAAGCATGCACCACCACACTGAGCTATGACTGATGTTTTCATTCTAAGTATGGCTCCATTTTTGACAAAGCTATGTCATAGCTATCCCATAAACATGGAAAATTGAAGTTCTGACGTAGGGAGTAACTTCTGGTGAAGTTTTATTATTTCGTATTATGTCCCCGAAGGCCATCATAGCTCGTAAAACTATATACTCTACATGCATATTATTTTTTAAAGCAAGTGAAAATTTTATATACATTTTATTCAAAATAGCTTAAAACCTTTGGGGCTGAAGATATAGTTTAGGTGGTTTTGGACCCTGGAGTCCAATCACCAGGGTGGAGTCACTCCAAGAGACCACTCACACCTCAGTTGATGCAATAGCAAGAGGAACTTTTATTCTGATGCTAGAGGTCCCTCAGCAGGTGAAGGACCTCGAAGAACTACCACAGGCTTCTTTTAAAGAGAAAAAATGCAGAACTAACAAAAAAGAAAAAAAAAGGGAGTGCTGAAGTCGTTTGTCAGCCACTGTGACCAGCTCAGTGGTCAGCTAACTGATGGGTGGTTGCTATGGTGATCACTGGGTTGGTTGAACAAGGAGAAACATCTGTATGTTGTTTTACCCCAGTCACAGGGCCTAAGTCTATTGAGGAAAACCTACAAAAGGGATAGAAAATTCTGGGGGAAAGATACACTCACACACACACACTCACACACACTCAAACACACTCACACTTACACACACACTCACACACACTCACATTCACACACACACTCACACACACTCACATACATTCACACACACTCACACACACACACTCACACACACACACTCACACACACTCACATACATTCACACACATACTCACACACACACTCACACACATACACTCACACACACATTCACACACATACACACACACTCACACACATACACTCACACACACATTCACACACGCACACTCACATATACACACACATTCGTACACACACACACTCACAAGTACCCAAAGCTAGCGCATGTGTGGGTGATTCTCAGGTTCCTGGTTCCCAGAGGAGGAGTAGGGAAGGATTAGGGGCGGTTTAGCTGATATGGCCCAGCCAGAGTCTTTCACCCCCATCCCCCCCACTCCCGTCCCCTTTGACTGGGTCATATCCCAATCTTGGGATTTTTTTTTTTTTTTTTTGGAATCTCTTCTAAGGGTCTGGTATTGCTGGGTTAATATTAAAGCTTGAGTAACGAACATCAGGAGTTGGTTGAAGATGCAGGGTCCAAAGGTTAAAAGAAGCAGCAGAATGATTAAGGGACCAGTGATAGTGGAGGTGAGGGTTGTGAGCCAGGGGGAGCTATTAAACCATCCTTCATACCAGCCTTGCTGTGCCTCTCTATTTTGCTGTCGTTTATCTAACCTATTTCTGAGCTTAGCCATGGAATCCTTGATTACACCAGAATGATCTATGTAAAAACAACATTGTTCTTTTAGGGCAGCACAGAGTCCTCCTTCTTGGAGAAACAACAAGTCTAATCCACACCTATTCTGTAACATCACCTCAGAGAATGAGGTCATCGACTCTTCAAGCTTAGAGATGGACTGTTCTAGGGCTTTTAAGTCTTCATTCATGGCTGTCCTTAATTCATTATAATATTGGGGAGCCTCCACCAGAGCAGCAATACCAGTGCTGACACTGGCTGCAACTCCAAGGCCTAAGATTACTGCTAGAGTCAGGGAGATAGGCTCCCGCTGATAGTGGTTCAGGTGCTCATCAAATTCATCTTCAAATGTGTCAGCGGAATCATAAAAGACCCTAAGTACTAGTTGAACGAGCATACAGTAATCTTTGGAGTTATCAAAAAAACAAAAGTTGCCACACAAGGCGTCAGGCCCATATTACAAGCCCACCATCTTCCTGAATCAGGAACCAAGTACCCGGCATTAGGAGTATCTTCTTTACCAATTGGGCCGTCTCTCGTTTGGTGGGAAAAGCTTCTGTCCAACCAGAGGTGTCTATAAAAACTAGGAGATATTTATTACCATATTTTCCCAGTTTTGTTGGTGAAGTCTACTTCCCAATGAGTACCAGGTCGGTCTCCCCTTATTCTTATGCCCTCCGGGGCATTTTGACGCCCTGCATTTACCTTGGTGCAGGGGAAGCAAGTTGACATTGCCTTCTGTATGAGGGAGTTAAGACCTGGAATATAAAAATCTGTCTTTTTCATTAGAGATTTAATCTTTTTTTTTAAAAAAACTTTTTTTTTATTTATTTAACTTTATTATGTTTGTTGGTGTGAAGGTGTCAGATCTCATGGAACTGCATTTTCAGACAGTTGTGAGCTGCCATGTGGGTGCTGGGAATCGAACCCGGGTCCTCTGGAAGAGCAGTCAGTGCTCTTAACCGCTGAGCCATCTCTCCAGCCCCTAGAGATTTAATCTTTTTGTGTCCTAAATGAGTCCATCGATGCATTTGGCTGACCAGCTCAAAGGCATCTTTCTTGGGTAACACGATTCTCCTGGTATTTCCAAGTTTTTTGTTGTTCATCAAAGTTCTCATTAAGTTTCTGGAGAGTCTCTAGATCCTGGGCGGAATATTGGAAATAATCTGTGGAGGGAGGTGCCTCTGCCAGGGTTAATATTTCTGAGTTCAACGCGGCCTTTTTAGCCGTCTCATTGGCCATCCGGTTTCCCTTGGAAATGGTATCATTGCCCTTTTGATGCCCTGGGCAATGAATAGTGCTCACCTTCTTTGGCAGGAAGAGGGCCCTCAATAATGCCAGGATTTGAGTCTTATTTTAAATCTCTTTTCCAGCTGAGGTTAGTAATCCCCTCCTTTTATAAGTTTCCCTGTGAAAGTGGGCAGTTGCAAATGCATGTCTGTATAGATGTTTACTTTTTGTCCTTTTGCTAGTTCCAAGGCCTTGGTAAGGGCTATTAGCTCTGCTTTTTGAGCAGAGGTCCCTGGTGGCAGTGTCTGTCTGTCCATCTACCACAGCTGTCCCTGCCTTGGTCCCCGGTGGCAGTGTCTGTCTGTCCATCTACCACAGCTGTCCCTGCCTTGGTCCCCGGTGGCAGTGTCTGTCTGTCCATCTACCACAGCTATCCCTGCCTTGGTCCCTGGTGGCAGTGTCTGTCTGTCCATCTACCACAGCTGTCCCTGCCTTACGCTCACCTTCTTTGAGGAAACTGCTGCCATCCGTGAACTAGGTATGATCTGCATCATGAAGCTGGCAATCGGTCAAATCTCCCCTGGTTCCATGGTATTCAGCCAGTATCTGATGGCAGTCATGAGGTACACAAACAGTAGGTTCCAAATTGGGGAGCAGGGTGGCTGGGTTTAGTGATGTCGCATTCCCGTTCAGGGTTCAGGGTTCAGGGTTGAGTAATAGTGACTGGTAGTGGGTTATTCAGGCATTCGAGAGCCATCTGTCAGGAGGTTGGAGGATAACTGTCTCTATGGCATAGAGTGCTATTATAGTCAATGGTCAATTTATCTGCATCTTTGACCAGGGTGGCTACTGCGGCCACCATACAGAGGCAAGGGGGCCATCCTGTTGCCACATTGTCCATCTTTTTGGAGATATAGGCCACTGGCTTCTTCCAGGGCCCCAGCCTGAGTTAGCACCCCTTTTGCCACCCCCTTATTCTCATCCACATATAAGGTGAATGATTTGGTGATGTCAGAGAGACTCAAAGCGGGAGGCCGAAAGGAGGGCTCTTTTTATTTTGTCAAAAGCTCACTATTGGTCCTCTCCCCAAGAGAAAGGGATGTTGGCCTTGGTCCAGCACTCAGGAGGCAGAGGCAGTTGAATCTCTTGAGTTCGAAGCCAGTCTGGGCTACAAAGCAAGTTCCAGGACAGGCTCCAAAGTTACACAGAGGAACCCTGTCTCCAAATACCAAAGAAAAACTGCACTTGCCCACCACATACAAGGCCCTAGGTCCAGTAGTGACCAAAAGGTCCTACTTTTTTACTTGAGACTTAACTATTTTAATTGAACACCCTTTGGTTTGTCTGCATGTGCATGCAGTAGTGTCCACAGCGGTCAGAAGGTCCTGGAATGAGTTATTGATGGTTATGGACCTCATGTGGGTCCCATGTAAGAACAGGTGCTCCAAACCACTGAGCTACCTCTCTAGTTCCTGATCCGTAAACATATTTCACCTTTCTTGCAGAGTATTTTGGAGATCAAAAGAGTGGAATAAAAAAACTTCAACATTTGCTTCGGACAAGTTGCTGACACAAAGTAAAAAAAAGCGTGTTAAAAAAGGAAAGCCTAAGATACCAAGAACCCCCAGTGACCATGAGGAGTCTATCAAGCAGCTGAGTAACTGTCAAGAGGTCACGTTCCCCTGCTCTGTCTGCCACCAAGAAATCAACACAGCTGGAACTTTTCTCCATAAGAAACATCACAATGCTCTGAGTATGCTGGGTTTCCAGTGGATGGGAGGGAAGAAACCAAAGCCCTCAGTGATCAGTATGCAGAGACAGTTTGTGATTTCTAAACTACTGACATCCTTCATGTTCAGTGAAAAAGTCCTTCAGAGTATGAATTATGCGTTTGAGCTGCTTTGGAAAAAACAAGTCCCATCATACTTCAGACTTTGTGATAAGGTTGGCCACACTTCCACGCATTCTCCAAACATCTCCCATCTGGTGATTAAAGGGGTAGCTGTCTGTGGCAACAGCAATTCCACCTGGAAAGCTGACCCGAATGGTAAATTCACAGTCACGAATGATTTTGGTGGTAAAGCCAATGTGTGCTTTTTTGGCTTGTTCGATGGCCATCATGGCAGTGCAGCAGCAGACATGGCATCAAAGGAGTTCCAGGTTTTACTTCTCCATCAACTGTCTAAACATGATCCTTCCTACCAAATGACAGCTGAGCAGCAGCAACTGATTGATTCCTTTCAGACTGTGTTCAGGGAAGAATACAGAGCCAAAGAAGAGGCTATCTCTTCCATATACAAAACCTTCAGAACCCATAGACGGGAATATGAGGAGATACACAAAGTCTTTGCAAAGGCGTTCTGGAGGATGGACAGGCTTCTGCGGCTCGGAAGGAATGAGGTTTCTCGGGTTCGGTGGAGTGGCTGCTCTGCACTCACTTGTATCGTAGAGGCTGCAATTAAGAACCCATATACTAGCAAGGACTTGACAAAAACAGACCAGCAGGGCGTTGAGAGTTTTCATTCCCAGAAGACCTCACAGATCATCTCTGGGGTACTACACATTGCAAATGCTGGTGTGTATCCTTGACACCTAAATATTGTAAATGCCCACAGAAAACCTCTCTTGCTTCTAGAATTAGTCACTTAGTGATTTATTAATACCTAGACATTGCATTTAACAATTAAGAAACAAAAACCTCAGTTTAAATACAGATTTCAGGAACAAAAATAATTTTTTAACTATTTTATAGGCACTGATATTACTATGTGACAAAACTCTTCTTCAGGAGACACAACACACACATCTACTCACCCTAGATAAGGGACCCATAATAGAGCAAAGTACTGATACCATCAAAGTCCAACTTGGTGATCCAATGAGCTTTACTGGGGTAAATTACAGGAATACGGATAAAGAGTTACTTACAGGAGCAGAAATAATTCACAGCCAGCTGCGTCACCAAAGCCCACACCAACACACTCACAAAAGCTGGGAACTTGGAGCACACTGCACAACCTGAAGGCAGCTCAACAGGTTGAAGAGTGTCCTTTCCAAGTGACTCTTTTCTAAACCTTTTCCAGGCAGATAGGCTAGTTTCTGCTTCTTCTAAGTAGCTGGTCTGGCCTCACCGCCTTTTTGCAACTTGTCTCATCTTTGCAGCTTGGTTTGTCAGAGTGTGACTCTTGGCAGCTTTATAGCTTACGCTGGGAAGGAGGGGCCTAATGAGTCTGGTAAATTGCAAGAACTTCCTGAAGCTATTTTGAGTTGTTGCCTTTCTGCTTAAGGAGTGGTCTTTGCAGGATGGAATGTTTCAGCCTTGAAGGAAAATGTTATACGTCATGTCCAATGTGACAAAGCATTAACTTTTCCAAATGGTTAAAGTACTTGCTGCCAAGTCTGATCCTGAGTTCAATCCCTGAAACCATGTTGGAAGAACAGCGCTGAGTCCTAAATTGACCTCTGACTTCTTCAGATGGATACACACACACACACACACATACACACATTTTCTCACATATATTGTACATATATACACATATTTATGTATATATACATTTACTTGTATACATATACATATATATGAAAATTTAGTGTATACACATATATACACATGTATACTTTAGTTAAAAAATTTCCAAATGAGGTAGTAATAGAGATGTTGATATATGTGAAAAATGAATACCTATGAAAGCTAGATCAAAACAAAAAACAGACATAAGGAACCCACTGCCTTCTTTGTGGAGACTGCAAAGTTGATTTTTCTCAGCATACTTGCTCAGATTGGTCCATTATAACTGTTAGGACAACTTTTAGTGCCAGGAGTCTTGTATCCCAGGCTGGCCTCAGACTCACTACGTAACCCAGGAGGATCTCATCGAACTTCTGATCCTCCTGCCTCTACTTCCTGAGAGCGAGAGCTGGAGTTACAGACATATGCCACAATTCTTGGTACTGCTAGTACAACCTTTGTGCATGCTGGTCAAGCACCGATTGTTTTCATACTCAGCCGTCACGTTGTGTCAAACAGTAGAATAGCCATTTTTCCTTCAGTTTTCCTGGCTTTCTACTGGCTAAGATGCTGGGCAAACCCCCCAAGCTACATTTCCAGCCCACTTTGTTGTTTTCGCTTTAGCATGGGATTTCACTACATTTCAAGGATGGTCTTGAATTTGTAATCCTGCTACGTTAGCCTCTTTAAACTGGAATGCCAGCCTATAATCAGCTCTGCCTAAGTTTTTGTCCTTATCATTTATATTCTAATAATTTTTCTTGATCTTCTATTTCTTTACTTCATTAAATGCTTACAGGATTAAAATACAAAAATACATATACTGGGAGTGAAACTATCAGTTTTCCAGAATGGTGATGCCATGACACTATTCATTTAGCAATAGCTAAAAGTTCTATTTGTCCATGTTTCTTCAACATCGCCTAAAGCAGTTTACCCCTGCTCCAGCTCTCTGCACCATATTTTGTATTGACTCTTTCTAGGTGTCTTAGGGTATCCTGGAATCTCTGATTCCAGAGTGCTGGGATTACAGGTGTGTATGGCTCAGCCATTATTTTGATTACATATTTGTTTGTAAATGTTTGTATGATGTATACTTACATATTCTGCATAGTATTAGATTTTTCAGCAGTTGTCTTGATTTGGGTTTCTATTGCTGTGAAGATACCATGACCACACCAACTCTATTTATAAAGGAAAACATTTAAAATAAAGGTGGCAGCTCACGAGTTCAGAGGTTCTGTTCATTATCATGATGATGGTGCATGGCTGTGTGCAGGCAGACATGGTGCTGGAAGGGTGGCTCAAGAGTCCTACATCTTACAAGATATAGGACGTGGACTGTCTCACTGGGCAGGGCCGCCTCCACAGACACTTCTTCCACTAAGGCCACACCTAATAATGCCACTCCCTGAGTTTATGGGTGCCAACTATATTCAAACTACCACAACAGCCCATTATTTTTATATATTTCAATAAGAAAAAAAATGTTGCATCCTTTAGGAACTCATACTCCTCTTGTTCTTAACTCCTTTTTAGACTTGTTCATCTGGTGTTTCTCATCTGGAGGATGTCCTTGGTCTCTGTGATGTCTGTCTCCTGGTGATAAATTTTTGTTTTTTTTGAGACAGTTTCTCTACTATATATCCCTGACTGTCCTGTAACTCACTGTGTAACCCAGGATGCCCTAAACCTCATCGCTATCCACTTGCTTCAGCCTCTTAAGTACTAAGTAAAACGGCGTCCACCACTCATATCATTTGCCTCTCATTTTCAAAATACTCAACCTGGTGTGGAATTCGATTGGCGGGATTTTCTGTTGCTGGAACCTGCTTCCATTTGGCCTGGCTGGCATTGCGGTTACTCTTGCTCTTCTCTTCAGAATGTGGATCCCCCTTGTGGCTGCTTCAGAGAATTTCTTTATCTGGTTTTATGCCAGGTGATTGCTGACTCATCTTTTCAGTCCACTGGGACTATGCTTTGTTTCACTCTTCTTTTAGTCAACGAAGCAGTATGATGTAAACACCATTTCAACTACAATCATATTATACTGCCATCAGTTTTCAACTGCAGGATTTAATGTGGTTGCCTATTTCCCTTACAGGAATTTTTATAGAACTTATGGTACAGAAAACAATTTTATCATCCACATCCTAAATAAATTCGGGTTTTAACTTTGACCAATTACATTTTTTTTTTAACTTTGTGTGTCTCTGTGTGCACCTATGTATGTATGTATGGAGGTCAGAGGACAACTCGCAGAAGCCAGTTTTCACCACGTGAGATCCTAAAATGGAACTCATGTTTATCAGGCTTGGCAACTTTCCTTTAAGGATTTGTTATTTTTATGTGTATGTGTGGGGGTCTGTACACACAAATACAGGTACAGAGGCCAAGGGCATCAGATTTTCTTAGACCTGAAGTTTTCCTCTGCCACTGGTGTGCTCTTTACTGCTGGGTTCTCTCTCCAATCCTCAAACTTTTGTGTTGTTTTGTTTTTTTAACTAAAAAAAGTATCTGCTGCTGTAAAGATGTTTCAGTCTTTAAGAACACCTGCTGCTTTCCCAGAGGATTAGAGTTCAGTTCCCAGCATCCATATTGGGTAGCTCACAACCAACTATAACTTCAGCTCTGGGGATCCAATACTCTCTTCTGGCCTCTGCCCTCCTCATGTGCACATACCCACACATACACATAATTTAGTCATTAAAAATCTTTATTTGAATATTTCAAAAATCTGCTACATAGATGTTAATAGTAAAAATCATATTTTAATAGTTTCATAAAAATTTGATTTAGAAGTTAATTTTCAAGACCTGTAGTTTTAGTTATTTTAAATGCTACTGGGTTATCACTGATATTCAAATATTAGGTGGTTTCCCAGTTTAAAATCATATTTGTGCAGTGCTGAGCTTATGTATTCTAAAGATATTTACATGGTATACTTTGTGTTTAGTATTGAAATAGAATAAGTAGCATATTTTTACACAAACTGATAATTAGAACTCTCTTTTTTAAAAAAAAAACCCATCCTTTCCTTTTAGGTAACGTGCAAGCAGTCTTATGCAGAAATGGAAAAGGGTTCTGCCTGACAAAAGAACACTCGACACGAAACATCAAGGAGAGAAGAAGAGTCCTTCAGAGAGGAGCAGTCATCAGTTCAAATGGCCTCCTGGAAGGGCTCATAAAAACCACCAGAGGTCTTGGATTTCATGGGAACCTCACGTTGAAGAAGTTCATTATTCCAGCACCCCAAACAATTTCTGTCCCTCTGGATGATCTATGTCAGTTTCTCATCGTAGCCACTAATGGGCTTTGGGAAGTTCTGGACAAGAAGGAAGTCACCGCACTAGTAATAACCTTGTTTCATTCATATAAAGATACATATGTTTCTGGCCCTAAAAACAAGTCCTGGCTATCTAACAAGCCTCTTTCCCCATCAGACAGTAACATCCGAGTGCTGTTCCAGTACAAACCTGAATATGAAGAAGGTATGTCAACTACTAATCTAATGAAAAGGTCATCTGATTCAATATATTCTGAAGCTTGCATTCATCAGGCTAAAAATGCAGAAACATTTTCTCCAGAAGGGAGTAATTATGACCCTTGTAGCAAAAAAGAAACTAACAGTTTACCTAATATAGACAGTAAGAAGGGAAGCAAGAAAGAACTATATGCTAAGAATTTCTATGAAGATGCAGCTGAGTACATTGGCTGTGAACTTGTAAGTGCTGCTTTAGAAGGTGGTTCCAGAGACAGCATCACTGTTATGGTAATGTTACTCAATGGGAGTGAGTATCAGCTGCTGACATAAAAACATTCCAAGACCCAGAGCAGCAAACAGTACCACAAAGATTTCAGTGCTCTAGACTCTAGGATAGATCATGACTGTGAGATTCATTCATAAGAACAGGAAGAAAATACAAAAGCTTCCAGTTACATACCATGTGTGTTATGCTCACTTCTTTATGTAAAGAGAAAAAAAAACCTCAGTGTTGCTTTTTATACCACTTTATTCCAACCTGAGCACCTCAATATAAAACTAAACACTGGTGAACTGTTTTCCTTACTAATTTTGAGTTACTGTAAAATGTACAAGTTCTGCTAGCAGATCAACACTTAAATAGATTAAATCATCTGACACATGGTAGATTTCATATAATGAAAATACCTAAAATAATTAGTGCAATATACTGATCAAAATTAAATGGACTTTGAAAAACAATGTTTCAAGATTATTACTAAGAACATTGTAATACTTATGTTACAAATTGCAGGTACAGTGTTTATTATGGTTTGAGCCATGAAAGAACAGCAAAGCCCCTTCCTTTTATAGGAGACAAATAATTAGCTGTTTTAGTAACTGTACATTTTGTATATGCTTAGGTAATTCTTAAATATTACAGAAAATAACAAACATGGAAACTACAATGCAGTACTCTATTTACAGTACAGCTGAAGATCATATTTAAAATCAAGTTTGAATGTACATAATTGTTAGTGCACTGACTAATCACGTCCAAAAGGAACCAGAGCTCCTTCCCTGCTCCAGACAGACCTCTATGTTATGGCCAACAGTGATTAAAGAGAAATCAGACACCTGGTTTGTTTCCACTTTGTTGAAGAGCTCACATGAAGGGACCACTACCCATTAAAATGCATTTATCAGTTTTATATTCCTAAAACAAGATGGGGTTACACATGACTTCTTTTCAATCAAATATTAAGAAATAACAGGACTGAGTAAGATATCACTAATATTCATTCTTTCTGGAGATGTAGGACTGTTTTCTTAGGATTATTTTATTATTATGTGGAATGTACACTTTTTAGACAATAGAAGAAATTATTACCATTTGCTTGGCTTCTGTTGCTAAGCATAAATATTTTTAGTCTTCTAAAAACGTTTTTCTAAAGCTCACATTAGTAATTCTTTTCACACCTGACTATTATACCAGTTTGAAGACTGGTTGGGTTAAGTGTGGGTCCACACCCACTGGAGATAAATGGTTCCCCTTTTATCCACTTTCCCATGGAACAAATTGTACACAGTTCTCATTTCCCCTTCTACTGCCGAAACATTAGTCGGAAGAACACATGCATGTTATTAAAAATTAAGTCAAAACACTCAAAATAATTCAGTATTAGAAACTTGATTCTACCAAAAGTCTCTTTTTTGAAGTCACACTGGGCCGGCTAAATGCTTCCACTTCACGGGTTTTGCCATTTAGGAAGTTCACACTGGAGTTCAGTTACTACAACACTGGCTTCTGGCTGGCTGTGCAGGCTCAGTAAGGTCTACTCCTCGTCCTCTGGCCGAGTTTGTGCCTAGATTCTGTGGTTCATTCTTTGGCAGCTTTTTAGCTATGAAAGAAAGGACCAAAATAAAATTATAATATTCATATTAAAATCACTTAGACCTGCTTATTTATAATACACTTTTCCAGTTGGGTTATCTCCAAAGTTTCAAGTGATTGACTTATGTTTGTTCTTTTCAAAAGCTTATTTATCTACTAAATGCCACAAAGCAAAGCAAAACACCAAATAACCCACAAAAAGGATCCTGCTGGTTGCTGTACTAAAGGAATTTAATTGCTTAGTGTTTGCAAAGGAGTAGGTAGAGGCCAACTGTAAGCATACCATTTAAACTTAAATTTAACTACAACTATACGCAATTTTTATCAATTCCCTTAGAAATAACATATTTTTCTTAATTATTAATACTTTGTGTTGTGCTGGTTCACGGGCAAACTAGGCAAGACCACTACCACTTAGCTACATTCAGACTTTCATAATCATTAAATTTCTATTATATACAATCTGGTGGACATGGTGGGACATGACTGTAATTCTCATGATTCATTCTGGAGAATGAATTGTGACAATCAGTTGAGCTGAGGAGGTTAAAACTAGCTTTGAGTAGCATATTAAGACTCCATTTTAAAAAACAAAACCAAACAAGACATAGAATCCAGTCAATAGACCATGACCAGTTATAAAGTTTATAAAGAAGCTCACATAACATTCTCTGGCTTGTCCCAAATAATTCTGAGAACAAGTCAAGATATGAACAAATTTTATCAATATAACCACCACATCAACCCAACCAAACCTGTCCATTACTGTGCAACCTAATCAGCAAACAGAATTATATGACACACAGCATTTACTTCCTTCCTGGCTTCCACACCCTTCAAACATCTAAGTTTTTCCCTCTTGGGCTATTAGAACCTCCATCTAATTTACAAATAGTGAGACTTAATATATACAACAAATAGCTCTATGCGTTCTATACAACTAATAGTGGTTCTGTGGAGTATGTTCCCCACTAAAAATTCACCTGCTAGATCCATGGCTTAATCCTGAGACAAAGTAGCAATATTCCTAGGAATAGTACTTTATATCCAATTCCCACCTGGAATTCTGGACCCTGTTTGTTTTGTGCTAGGAAACCTGGGGCTTGTACACTTTACACAGTTAACAGCTACCACCAAGCCATACACCCTCATCCTGCATTTTTTAACCCTTCGTTTTTTTTCCCTGTATCAATATTATCTTCAGAATTTCAGGTGCTAGAAGCAGGTCCAGTGAGCACTGACGTTTGTAAAAAAAGTTTTCACTGAGCCACCCTATGTTTGGCTATAGAAATGGTACCATAAAGTACAATAACAGTACTCGGGAGGCAGAGGCAGGCGGATCTCTGTGAGTTCAAGGCCAGCCTGGTCTACAAGAGCTAGTTCCAGGACAGGAACCAAAAGCTACGGAGAAACCCTGTCTCGAAAAATCAAAAAAAAAAAAAAAAAAAAAAAAAAAAACCAAAAACAACAACAACAACAACAAAAAAAACCCCGAACGTTCAGTCAGATGTTATTTATAAGCAATGCCAACGAAATGGATTAACAATAGTACTAAGAACACAGAATAAGCTAGCACTCACTGAAGACTGTATTAAAATAAATACTGAGTTGGGTGTTTTTTTTTTTTTGGTTTTTCGAGACAGGGTTTCTCTGTGGCTTTGGAGCCTGTCCTGGAACTAGCTCTGTAGACTAGGCTGGTCTCGAACTTGCAGAGATCCACCTGCCTCTGCCTCCCGAGTGCTGGGATTAAAGGCGTGCGCCACCATTGCCCGGCCTGAGTTGGGTTTTGGAATGTGTATAATTTCTCCTTGTAGCCTACTGCTCTAAGGATTTTCTCTATTCACATCTGACTGAGATCAAGAGGAGGAAGGAAGTAATCAGCAAAAGGACAGTTTCTGTTAATTGGACTGTATCATGTGATTTGAGAGGCTAACTATCAAGGAAAGAGCAAGGTTCCATTTACACTGGGGATTTCTTTAAAGAAGGGAGTTTAATTTGAAACAAACTGTGGAAGTTGGGAATGCAACACAAGTGCTGTAGCATAAAGCTACTTCCCCAGCCTACAAGTCTTAAACAACTGTAAAGTGGGGATGGTGGCTCCATTCCACTATCCCAGCACTTTAGAGACTGAGGCAGGAAGATCTGGAGTTGCAGGCTAGCCTTGGCTATACAGTGATTCATTTAATGAATGCTTTTGTGTAACCATTAAGTTCTGAGTTTGGATCCTCAGCACCCATATAAAAACATGAACATGTAACTCCAGCACTGGGGGGTGGACCATGTAGGAAAAGAATGATCTTAGGATTTTCAATGACTCAGAGTTCATTGAAAGACTCAGACTCAAAACAATGATTCAGGAGGTAAAGGTGCTTACTGCTAAGCTTTATGCTATCAGTTCCATATCTGGAACCTACATAGTCTAAGGAGTAGACCTCCAGAAATTGTTCAGCCCTCCGCATTGGTGCTGTGGAACACACACAAAATAAATGTTTAAAAATCAAACATGGAGAAATAGTGCAAGAAAACATCTCCACGCTAACCTCTGGCTTCTATGTATACTCACACAAACAAGAGCACTTGTGTGCAGGTGTGTATGAAACAAAAGACACATACTGAACTCCTACATTGTCTCCACCTTCCTGCCATCATTGTCTAACACACCAATACTATGTACCAACTACCTACCTACTTGTAGTCAGCTTGGTTATCAGACTACCTTGGCATCACAATGTTCAAGTTCAAGTAACACTTATTTTACTTAGAATGACCTTTAAAGCACAAAATCCAGGTGGTAGTGACCCATGCCTTTAATCCCAGCATTTGGGAGGCAGAGGCAGGTGGATCTCTGAGTTCAAGGCCAACCTGATCTACAAGAGTTCTAGGACGTGCTCCAAAGCTACAGAGAAACCAGGTCTCGGAAAAACAAAACAAAACTTTACAAGTACAAGGTCATCCTCAGATCCTATCCCAAAGCAACAACAGAACAATCAAAATAAAGAATAAATACAATAAAAAGGAAACTTCCATGCCAGGCCTGTTGGTACACCTATAAACCCAGCGCTGAGGAGTCTGAGGCACAAATTCTAGTCCAGCCTAGATAGATACCAAGACTAAACTCAAACTCAGCCATCAACAAAACTCAAATTTGGAAAACAATTTTCAACACCCAGATGTAGTTCAATAGTATAGCACTTGACAACCATATTTAAAGTTTGGGGTCTGATCCCTTTCCCAGGCAGAAGAGAATCTTTGTAAAAATGGGAAGAATGAAATCTATGCTATTTTTGCTATTCCATCTCTTGATATACTTAGGACAGAAAAAGTACCAAATTAAAAGCTTGTTAAGCTACCCACAGTTTCAGGCATCCCTGTAGATAAGAGGTACTATTGTACACAGAAAAACTCTTATTTGCTCGGACTTTTCAGTGTAACCTTTGGAAAATCTACCTCTAATCTA